GCCATGAGAGTACTAATGGTAGAAGTGTTGGACTCGCCATGGTACTGAATGGAATTGCTTTCGATGTATCGACGGAGTATGATCTGTTCGTTATGGTTTCCGTAAGCATATATCCAAACCTTGAGCGCGTGTTCGTGTATCCACCAATCTGAATTAATGCCTTCGTTTTTTAGTTGTGTCAAGCACTCCATACCAAAAGCAAAGCCAATCCTATGCACCGTGCCTTCCCTACTTCACTAAGGTTTTCGATAGACGGACAGGCTATTGCTGGGATCTTAAGCTGCGAAAATGGTCCTAGCTATGTTAAAATTCAACCAATATACTCATGGCTCCTAGCTTTATTTATTCATCTTTCATTCAAGTGATTCGGTTCACTTAGCTGATTTGTCGTGATTAGCCGATCCTAAACACTTTCCAAACACTTCAAATTCTTGAATTCTCTTTAATTTTCAGAAGTCTGAGGAAGAATGCCAGCATCAACAAGCCCAAGCCCAATATGCCAAAGTGAGTAGATCCCCTCGTTGACATCGGCGAAAAAAACGTCGACGATGTGTATGCTGACCTGAAACCTTGTTGATTGTTTCGAACAATGGTTCCAAATGAAAAAATGAGAGGGGGCAAGAAAGCATTACAGTAGCCGCGTAACTATCAGCGCCTATGTTCTTCTCCATATCCCGCTCACTCTGGCCAACACTGAGCCCCAAATACTATGATCAAAATCTCCCATCATACCAACGAGTTTCCACTGACTCCCATCAGCAGGAGGTTCTTGCGCTACCTTCTTCAATCCCTGTGGTTCTCGCCCTGCAGCACTCCACTGCGTCAGGAAGAGGCGTCTGGTGGATGCATCTCCGAGCTTGTCGAAGAATTCACTTCAGAAAACAGAATCATTAGGTGTGGCAAAACTAACAATGGAGCTCTACGGATGCAAACTTACATTCCCGCAATTCTCCCAGAACCAGGTATATACGAAATAATAATTTTCGTAATCTCAATTTCCGGCTTATTCTTTTCCTTGATATGAAGATGATGATATTGATTCGCGGCCTCAAACCGTGGTTTCCCAAAGTGGTGAGCGCAGTTATCAGCTTTGAGACTATCGTCCTTATCGCTCGCAAATTGGAAGCCAATGCCTCCGATGGCACCCGCAGCATCCATCGAGAACCGGCTACGGCTCATACTATGATGGTGGTAAGTATGTAGAGAAATACCACACAGTGTATTCCCAGGACCAGTCCCCTCATTGAAATCAAGAGACACGAAAGCCGTGTATTTCCTGTACGGATTCGCCACATCCCCCACCAAATGGCTGAATAAATCGTCATTCTTAGTGTACGTTTTCACTTTCTGCACCGCTGCATCACCAGAGTATGTATCATCCGACGCGTCGTTACGAATGAATATCGGTAATCGCGCCTTGAGAACTTCGGGGTACGCATAAATAGGTCTCTTCATTTTCGTCTTACCGGTTCGTTCATCAAACTGCGCGTACGCAAGTTCGGGATGATTGACCAATCTGGCGGCTTCCTCCGTAATAAGAGTAAGTGCCTCACGGCAAAGTACTTTTGCCTCGTTAAGTTCCACAGGGTCTAATCGTATGGGATCTCTAATGGCATTATTGTCATTGATGTCGAAATCGAAGTAGATGTATGGGTCATCTACGGCGAATGTCTCCGCACGTAATGGCGGCGGGCTTCCAGATGGCCTGTTTGGATTTTCATGCTCGCCATCGACAATTGCGTCCATGGAGGCGAAGTCTCTTTTCGCTACATCTATGGGGCTTGCTGAGAGGGAAACGGCTCTGCCGTAACTTGGTGGAACGAGATTCTTTGGGGAGGTTGACAGTTTGGGTGGTTCTTTTGCTTTCCATTTCGACATATCTTGGAGGACTGAGGATTGTCTTAGCTGCTGGGTATTACAGATACTCTCTCAGGTTGGTTTGCTCAAAGCCAGACGGACTATTGCTGGGGTCCTGACTTGCAGTCTTCAGAAGAGCTATGTCGATACTAGATAAGTATACTTACGACTCCTAGCACTGTCGAAGTCACTGTAATCAGAGTAGAGTCGGCATACTTAACCAGTCCAACGTAGTGAGATCCTTTCGACCTCTCCAAGATCCCAAAATTTGTCCCGCTTCAAAAAAACCAAGGGGAGTGTTTCTGCAAACTTACTAAAGTCGATCCTCTTCCACAATTTCTTGTACGCCATGAAAGCATTGAACAAGTCGTTTGTATAAATGGAGCACTGAATGAGTTTATCAGCTTACCACAAATTCAGGGATCCGAGAACGCGACAACACTTACCGGAGCATAATTCAGAATCAAACTCTTGTCCCCCCAAAGATCTAACTTCGTCTCTGCTAATTTCTTATACCTCCATACCTCAAACGAACGGAGCGAAGAATATCGTGATAGGATCGCAGTTGTCTTGGCAGAACAACGAGCTACCATTGACGGAAAGGCATTCGCCACTGACACTACAGACTCCACAGTCCATTGATCTTCGGGATTTTTGATCTCGCCTCCACCCGTCCAGTTTACCGAGATGCTGATTTCGGTATCTTGAAGGAGTTCAGAGTGTTCTTTATCTAACGATTCACTTCCGCCCATGGTAATAGGGGATGGCCCAATGGCAAGAGCTACGTCGATTGCTTGTTTCACGTGTCGGAGTTTACTTTTGTCGTGTACCTTGAACAAGGTTAACTTTACGTCTCTTTGGTCAGAATTGAAAAGGTAATATACATCTACGCTAATGACAGCATTGAAACTCCCTCCTTCAACAAATCCAGAAATGAAGGAATCCCCGAAAACTTCTGTAAATTTGTCCGCGGGCACTTCATCAAGGGGTTGGAATACCATTTCCTCAGTGATAGGAGGAGAATTATTATTCACTTGAACGGAGACTACATAATTTAATGCACTGTCGAGTACTTTGCTTTCGTTGACGAAACTGGCATTCCCGTTACTGCTCGCAATCAGTAAAGTGGCATAATAGATATGATCTAGAAGCGTGGCCTACCCATGGATGGTACCGTACTTGATGGACATCGACGCCGAAATGTTCAGCAAGTCCATAATGTCGCTCATGTTATCAATAGAGCGTGTGGAAAAAGTTACGCTTTGGCTGGGATTGGTGATTTCGCCACTAGGCATAGTGAAAGGAAGATGTTTGGGTGTACCGGGCTTGAATATGGTGTCCAAAGCACGAGTAACGAGCTCCCCATTTTTGAAGCTGTCAGCTGCTGTGGCCGGCGGCTTTTCCTCCCCGTTTGCAGTTTGAAAAGCTACTATAACCGGGGCTCTTTGACCTGTGCTCACAGTAGGGAGAGTAGACGTATCAGGAACAGCTTGAAGAAAGGTTTCATTCGAGCCTGGAGATTTAAATACGCTATTGGTGTTATCTTTGAATGTACTGTCCTTGGCGCCATTTGGGGTCGATGAGGCTGTGACAGTCGATTTGGGAACAAATTTGACGGCTCCGCTTATTCTTGACTCGGCGGTATAGGTGTTGAAGCCTTGCCCTATAGAGTGTTAATTGCAGATCAAAGTTCAATGAGGAAAAACTTGAGAAAGGCGGAACGATTGCACGTCCTTTGTCACCCCATGATGCGCACCGCTCCCAGCCATTGGTAACTGAATACTTGTGGAAGATAATAAGCCTCCTGATCAGGAGTTCAAGCTCTAAATTCCTTCCATCTCATCAGGATTTCCACCACCGAAGCCCTTGAAAGCAAATAGCCCAACAGGAGTGTGAATAGTGAATGTTCATACCTAGTTGCATGTCATTGGAATAAGGTGTTGTAAGAGACATGTTGGCGACGTCGATTTCTTATCAATGTAACACCTTAGAAATTGGAGAGCAACCCGTCAGTGATACTTGGACATATAGGAGTACGCTTGCGCTCATCTAAGTATCGTTGCGTCTGGAGCTGGTCATCGAATGGCTGAAGAGCTTAAAGGTTTTCTTTCTGAACGAAGTTAGAGAGGCTGAAATCGCTTGCGAGCAGTAGACTCGAGACAAGCTTTTCGTGCCGCACCCAATACTTTGAAGTACAACTCGCCCTCAAAACGATAATGAAGCTGAATTCTGTGGCAGGTAAGCTGACATTGTAACGTTATTGAACGTATCGAGGCTTGACCGCGGGACACAGATAAGTTGTACTCAGCCCAATCCCCTTCAACTCGGCAAATCCACAGATTACAGGATGTACCTGTAAGTACGGTATTAGTGCAATTTTGACCTCAGTACGGCTCACTAGCTGGGCGAGCTGAGCGGCTAGCTGCAGAGCTTATGCAAATTTAACGAATAATTAACCTCAACACGCAGCATATTGACTCGTAATTCTAAAGGAGACAACGTTAGCTCCATCAGCTTCAGCAAGACTCTTAACTTCTACGTGCACGATACGCGGTCCGTAGCACATGAGGCTGAGTCGTCTTCCCGTTTGGCGTAGAAAGACATCGACTGTGAACACAGCCCCCATTTTGTCCAAGGGCCCATTCAGCTCGAAAGTCGGCTTCGAAAACAGCCTACGCTGTTGGGTGGAGGTAGGCTACCAACCTGATATGAAAACGTAGGCACGAAAAATCGAGAAAGGATACTGTAAAAAAGTGCTAGATCACAAGCTCTTGGTTTCATGACCCCAAACCAGGATCTTGAGCTGAAGAGCAACAGATTGGTGTTATGTATGACTTCCAGTATACCCACAGCTCCCGTGACCGACACTTTCGATGGCTATGGGCGTCTTCAATATTGTGGGCAGAGATCAAAGCACGGCTGCGAATTGACACTGCACACGACTCCGTCCAAGAAGATTCGTCCAGCCAGATGGGCTGCACCAATTGACCTAACGGAGGTCGGCAAAACTTGCAGGGGGAAGCTTGGAGTGCTAGGATGAATCGAGAATAGATTTCCGTAACACAACCCCCACCACTACCAGTCCTCGACTTTTTTTTCAAATACGTATGAGAACTCGTCTACCCCAAAATACAACTCAAACTGCCCGCTTGGCTTAGGGGTAGAGCGTCGCACTCGTATTATAGCAATGCGAAGGTCCTTCGTTCGATTCGGAGAGTGGGCATGATATTCTTTTGTCCCGTGGTGGTGTATATGCTCGAAAATTCTCAGGAATACCGATTGAAATGTTACTTTTTGCGCCTCAGTCTACATTTTAGTACCAAGGGAAACGATTGCTCTGTCGCGAAGAATAGATTATAGCATAATGGAGATTTTATGCTGCCGTGGAATTGCTCGTCAAGAGGTTCACGAATATACCAAGCAATATCATGTGACCAACCACGTTTGCGGGATGGGAGCTTGCACCGAAGGCCCACGGATCTATCGTCACCCCTTCTAATTGTCATCAGCATACTGCTTGGATTTGTTAAGTTGACTGCCTGCAATAGAGTGAGATAAGACCATGATGTATTGTTCCGTCAAAGGCTTCACTGACCAAGGACTTCAGGAACAGAGCAAGGTGAATTGAAACATGTAGTCGTACTCCCTACATATGTGCCAGGAATTCAAGCTTGGGAAAGCAGTGTTAAAGCTATGAATGTGAGCATACGTATCGACAGCTCCCAGCCATTATTCCATTTCCAGGCCCTAGAGTGTTCAATCACTATTTTCAAACATGAAACTAACGCACTTCGAAACATGGGCTTTGGTTTCTGGTACCTCTGCCGTAAGCTGTCGTCTGGATGTTATAGTATGATCGGAGCTTCCAGTCATTGGAAACGAGACCGCACATGAATATCATCCTGAACGGGCCCTATGCGCACGTGGGGGATCTCTGCCTACTTTCCGAATCGAACGAAGGACCTTCGCATCGCTGTAATACGAGTGCGACGCTCTACTCCTAAGCCCAGCAGAAGGTTATCCTCTGAGCAACTTTCTAGAGGTGATTTCCACATCCGGAGTGGATCCCATCCCACAAGCATCGAAAGCTGTAGCAGATCTCTCGAGAACATCGAGGACGTTGACCTATCTAGTCATGTACCAGGTATAATGCAGTGATCTCTAGTTACAGGTGCTGCGGAGAGAAATTGCGGTAACTTCCCTACCGATTGACATTTCCCCAGCACCGAAAATTGTACTCTCTTCCTTGCACAGAATTGAGCCGACTTTCAGAATGAGCCACAAGCACTGCAATCCAATAGACTACAACCCAAAGTGGTAGTTCGATGAGTGCAATGCACTCCTGTTTCACTGCTTACAGTCGGATAGAGTCTTGGATTCTGGGGTGTATGAACTCTTTTCGAGATGTCGAAGAGAGTTCAGTGTACTGACGTGGTCTAGTTTATCTGTATCAGGGGGCTGCTAGGAGCCGTCAGGATTTAATGTGATTCAAAGAATGCTTATCTAGGGTCAGTATGCGAGTACTCCAGGAGCAGCTCATCTGCCTGTTATTGGTGTCATGCTCTTTCCTAATCCAGGAGCTGCCAAAACCGGTCGATTATGGCTAGGAACTTACCCACTCGTACCATATTCAGGGTCTCGTCACAGTAACTCTTCAAGAGACGTAAATCTCAACTGAATTCCTTACTTCTCACTAACACATTTCAACAAGATCGAGCAATGAAAATTAACCACTCATCTCAGCACAATTGATTGAGCTCTATCAGTGAGCTCATCGACGTTACCAAACCTCAGTTCCTTAACAGTCACAACATTGACCACCACAGCAGCGGATGCACAAGACCACATCAAATATTGAATACGTTCTCGCACATCCAGGGAGTTGTCCGATACCAACACAATCAAGCTCGTCCAGACTCATCTTTGTGATATAACATCATCATTCAAAGGCACAAACCTCATCAACACCAAGTCATGGCGCCAAAACGAAACACAAGATCAACCAAAGCTGTGAAGATGCCGAGATCCACTACCAAGAGCAAGAAAAAGCTGGCTTTCGATTTTCTGGGCCTTCCCCGGGAGCTGCGTGATATGATATATGTGTTATACATGGGAAGCTTTGGACATGATTATGACCTAGAACATCATAATCCCGGATTTCGAAAAAAGGCTCTTATCCGTCGCGTCAAGTTCAGACGCCATGGTCTTGTTGCAGTAAATAAGCAGGTATCTGCAGAATACTCAGAACTTATCGCAAAAGTCATACAATTCAGATTCAACGTTCATCAGCATGGTCGATGGCCACTTGCTACATGGCCAGTCTCGCCCATCATTCACGCTCAAATCACGACATGTAGCTTCTGGATCACCGGGTGCGACTTTGAACAAGATGGCGCTCTCGAAGTGTTTGGAGTTTTCATTCTCGACAACTTCAAAAGATTCATACATGAAGCCTCGCGACTAGATGATCTTGCAATTGTATTATGCTACCCTACGTCTCGGGCAGCAGTGTTAGACGGTACTACAAAGGACTTCCTTTTAAAGCTCATATGCGCTTGTGAAAGCTTAGCTTCTCTCAACATTGTTGTCACACTCGGCGAAGTACCTTCAGCTCCTTTGGTGTTGAAGCATTACTTGCGTTCGGAGTCGAATCAGTTTGTCGAAGTCAGCGACACTGAAGCTGAAGAGGTTCTGGCACTTTGAAGGCAATCACCTTGGGGAAGCAAAGAATCAAATTTACCCACTTACTCTAAACTTATATGCCTTAGCTGATATTAGGAGTCGTAGAAATATCCATATCGTCTTGGCATAGCTAGCATAATATTTGTGTGTTGGGATTCCGGCACTGGTCTGTCGTGCTTTCTAGAGCAGACAGTCTTATTTATTCCTGATGTTAGTACAGAGAACGCCAGCCTAGTTTCAATCAATGGCTGAATCCCTTGGAGTCAGCATTTCATAGCGTCGGGTAAGCTCTAAAATAGCTACGATATGGTCTTTCCCATTCCAGTAAGTGATCGGTGGGTAGCAAATCTATAGTTACTCAGACCTGGTTACTTATAAGATAAGACGTCTTTCCGCGCTTAGATCTTTCCTCATCTCAACACAATACAATCTCTTCTACATCCTGAAACCATATGAGTAGTCCAAAACCCATTCCACCACCATTCATATCGCCCCCGGGGTGTAGACCTCTCAATTTCAAACCTTACATCTCATTGCTCGACCTCACCGGCCTGTCTGTCCACAACTCAGCCCAATAAACCGACTTGACTCAAAGTCTTAGACCTAAACCAACATATTCTCTTCCTCAGAGTAGTACGCCGATCCGATTGATGACGACCAAACCATCAACTCTCAACATGACCACAAGGATGAACCCGCGAAACGCTTCCATCCAGAGCGGAAAAGAGCCAGTCTTCAACTTCCTCAATCTACCACGCGAACTCCGCGACATGATCTACACCATCTACACCGAAGCCTTTGGCTCTCCACCAAGAACTTACAACCCACGACCATCGGGCGAAAGATACGCGTTCACTGAACCCACTAAACGCACCAAACACAGTCTCCTCCGCGTGAATCAGCAAATCTACCACGAAATCATCGAGATAGTCTACAAAGACTACAAACCTGCTTTCCACGTGGAAGGATCGTACGCGCGCACTCCTTTGGCTGACTGGCGCATGTCCTGCCCTCTCCAAACCCAAATAAAAGAGTGCGCCGTTGTGTTCGACACCTTCGCCAGCGAAGGCGCAAATGCCCTCCTCTCCCTCAATCTAAAGCTCTTTCTACGCAAGTTCACAGTGCTTGAATCCCTTGAAATCGAGATCACACCCAAGGTCGGCAATCACAAAGAGCTCTTCCCGGTGTTCGGTAGTGTTAGAGATGGTGACCATTTACCAAGGGTCTATTACATCACTCTTAATGGAATAGCTTCGTTGCTAAAGGTGGAGTTTCGTGATGAGGGGAAAGTGTTGAAGTTCAAGCGTGCTACTGGAGGGGAGAAGTTGCTGTGCTATGACAATGGTGAGAATGTGATGAAGCGAAAGAGTGAGAACAAGAAGGAGACGAAGCAGAAGCAGAAGCAGCATCCCGTTGGGAGAAATGGTGGATCCTATGGGTCTGGTTGGGGTGTTCTTAGATTGTGATATGCGGGTGGTGAGCTTTCCGTTGCGACCAGGAAGAGAGAGGATTTGGAAAGGAACGATTCCAACATTTTAACTTATCATGGTGAGTGATTTGCTTGAAAGGGGCTTCTGATATCGGCATGCCTATTCTTTTATTTTGGGCTTTTCTCTCCGAGAAGTTGCGTTTGGAAGACTTCTCCAAATCTACCCCATCAGGATTTTTTGGAATTGGATTCAGCTTTGGAATCTAGACAATCCAAATCATTTTTAGATCTATATATTTATATCAGCACGCCCAAGGGCTCCCAAATTTAATCATGTTATCACTGCCAGAATTTGAAAGCATACCGCTAGAGTCTTCAAATCCTGAAAATAATCCTTACTACCTTCTTGAACCATTTGGCCGCACATTCAATACCCTCCAATAACCACTGCAGCAATTACCACAATAAAGTGTTCTTTTGGTATTCAAACTTTAGAGTGGAGATTGTTTTTAATTGTTCTCCTTAGGGAATTAATTTTCATCTTGAAGATTTGAAAGAACCATAAATCTTACTGGCATGCTGATGAGAACTAGAAGTGAAAAAACAATGACAGAATGGAAGATAAATAATAAAAGGTTGCAAACGTTAGTGGTTGAGAAGCTATATGCGCTCCATAGAACGGTTCGTCAAAACATCCATGTTGCTACCTTCCCTCAATCATAAGGACTACACGCAGACAGAATTATGAGACAGGGAAAGCACTACAGGTGAGAGCAAGAAGAGTCGACGAGACAAGGACAAGGGAGAAAACCATCATCATCGTCAAATTTGCTTTCGCAGACGCAGAGGGTATCCACGCCAAAAGACCAAAAATATACACACATAATCCCCACATCATTCATATTTCAACCCATCAACCGTACCACTTTAACCCCTCTCATGCCTAAAAGGCTCATACGCCGTCTCCCTCCCCTTGTACGGACTGCTCCCAGCACCATGTCCTCCAAAATTATCCATCTCATGGCCACCCGCATTTCCATGATTGCCGCTCAACCTCTCATACTTTTGTCCTCCAAACCCAGAATAAGCACTACCATGCTTTTCGGCTGATT